TTCATAATCCTGAGAGAGGGTATTTGTACTTCTATGGGTAGGATTGCCTCCATGCCATATACCAGAGAGTAGGGTTTTGCCCCTGTCGATGTCCGTGCTAAGGTACGGTACCCATGAAGAGCAAATGGTAACATCTCGTACCAGTCTTTATATGTCACTATCATCTTCTGTACAATCTTCTTGATGTTCTTGTTAGCTACTTCAACAACGCCATTCATCTTTGGCCGGTAAGGAGACGAATTATGGTGTTGTATCTTGAACTGTCTGCAGAGCTCGATGATCATTGTGTTGTTGAGATTTGTACCATTATCAGTAATAATTCTCTCTGGCACACCATATCAACATATCAGATTGTGTCGGATAAATCGCGCTACGACGTTCTTGGTCACAGTAGCAAAGGAAGCTGCCTCAACCCACTTCGTGAAGTAATCAATAGCCACTAAGATGAAGCGATGTCCATTGGAAGTGGTGGGTCTGATCTCGCCGATCATGTCGATGCCCCACATTGCAAAGGGCCAAGGAGCCGTCAAGACATTTAAAGGAATCGGAGGCACATGCACCTTATCAGCGTAGATTTGGCACTTATGACAGGTTCGAGAGTGCTGATAACAATTGGCTTCTATAGTGGACCAGTAATATCCTGCCCGTAGGATCTTCTTGGCCATGGTGTGTCCACTAGAATGGGTTTCGAAGGTGCCTTCATGTAGATTTGTCATGATCCTCTCTGCTTCGCTCTTATATACACACTGTAATAGTGTGGAGTCATGGTTGCGTTTATAAAGGATCCCATTATTGAGGAAGAATTTTGCAGCGAACCTTCTCAGAAACTTCTTATCGTTGACAGATGCCCCTTCGGGATACTCTTGCGCCTCGAGATACCTTTTGACTTCGTGAAACTAGGGTTTGTCTGCCACTTCTTCGGTATCGATCTCGCAGTAGTGTGCTGGTTCATCCAACCTATCAATGGTAATCTGGGGAGTTTCATTGTCCCACCTAACCTTGAACATAGAAGAAATGGTAACTAGCGCGTCCGCCAACTGGTTCTCTTCTCTTGGGAAATGTTCAAAGGTTATCTCCTCAAAGTGTGGGAGAAATGCCAGTACATACTCTTTGTAAGGAATGAGATTCGGGTGCTTCGTATCCCACTCGCCTTTGATTTAACTTATCACCAGAGCAGAATCCCCGAATATACTCAAGAACTTGATCCTTAGGTCAATAGCAACTCGAAGACCCATGATACATGCTTCATACTCTTCTATGTTGTTGGTGCAGTTGAAACATAAACGGGCAGTAAATGGAGTATAACAGCCCTCGGGAGATATGATTACAGCGCCAATGTCGTTACCCAGTGCGTTTGAGGCTACATCAAAATACATAGACCATTGGGACCCTTCCTCAGGTCCTTCATCCGGTCCAGGCTCTTCGTAGTCAGTCACTAACATGATATTCTCATACGGGAACTCAAAATTCATGGACTGGTAGTCATCCACGGCTTGATGAGCCAAATGATCAACCAATACACTCCCATTTATAGTTTTTTGGGATGTATATTGTATGTCGTACTCAGATAAGATCATTTTCCACCTTGATATCCTTCCGGAGAGAGCGGGCTTCTCGAAAATATACTTGATCGGATCTGTCTTTGATATCAACAAGGTAGTGTGAGTCATCATATACTGTCTCAGCCGACAAGCAGCCCATGCCAAAGCGCAGCAAGTTTTCTCGAGCAATGAGTGTCGGGTCTCACGGTTGGTAAACTATTTGCTAAGGTAGTAAATGGCGTGCTCTTTTCGGCCAGACTCGTCATGCTTCCCCAACACATACCCCATTGAATTGTCTAACACTGTCAAGTATAATATAAAAGGTCTTCCTTCAACTGGAGGCATCAAAATTGGCAGTTCTTGAAGGTATTCCTTGATTCTTTCGAAAGCGGTCTGACATTCATCATTCCACTTTACCACTTGATCTTTCTTCAGCAGCTTGAAGATTGGCTCACAAGTAGCAGTTAGATGTGAAATGAACCTGGCGATATAATTCAGGCGTCCCAAGAAACCTCTAACCTCTTTCTCTGTACAGGGAACTGACATCTCTTGTATGGCCTTTACCTTCGCAGGATCTACTTGAATACCCTTGTCACTGACGATAAAACCCAGAAGCTTACCAAATCTTACCCCGAAGGTGCACTTGTTCGAATTCAACCTCAACTTGTATGTCTTCAACTTGTCAAACAATTTCTGGAGATGATCAAGGTGCTTTTCCTCAGTCTAAGACATGGCTATCATATCATCAACATAAACTTCGATCTCATGGTGAATCATGTCGTAGAACAAAGCGACCATAACACGCTGATATGTTGCCCCAACATTCTTCAACCCAAAAGGCATCACCTTGTAGCAGAAGGTGCCCCACTGTGTGACAAAGGTTGTCTTCTCCATGTCTTCAGGAGCCATCTTGATCTGGTTGTAGCCAGAGAAACCATCCATGAAGGAGAAGATTTTGTGCTGGGTGTTGTCGACCAGAACATCGATGTGAGGAAGTGGGAAGTCATCCTTGGGGCTTGCCCTGTTCAAATCTCTGTAATCAACACACATTTGTACCTTACCGTCCTTCTTAGGTACCGGAACAACATTAGCAACCCACTGTGGATACGAAGTGACAGCTAAGAATCCTACATCAAACTGTTTCATAACCCCTGCCTTGATTTTCTATGATATTTTAGGGCGCATACGACGAACCTTCTGTTTAACCAGAGGACATTCTTCTTTAATCGGCAAGCGATGTACCGCAATATCAGTGTCCAAACCAGGCATGTCTTCATAAGACCAAGCGAAGATCTCAACGTAGTCATGCAGCATCTGTACCAACCTCTGTTTGACGCTAAGCTCCAGATTTGCACCTATTTTAACCTCTTTTCTGTCTTCCTCAGTACCTAAGTTCACTGTCTCAACCGGCTCTTCATGAGGCTGTATGGCCCTCTCTTCCTGCTGTAATAGTCTAGCAAGTTCTCCAGGAACCTCACAATCATCCTCACCTTCGTCCTCGACTTGGTTGATTAGATTTTTGAAGTCATAAATAGAAATAGCAGAGCTTTATCAATGGGATCCAAAGTGGATACGGATCTGCATTATGATACGTGAGTGTGTGTAAGAGAATAGTTGTTTTAATAAAGTGAAAATAGAAAAGAAAAACAGAGAGCGCAAAATTTATATGCAAGAACCATTCAATGCTTTATTAATGATATATGAAATGACAAATAATAACCCTCACAAGCAAAGCCAATGTGCCCCGGGCAAGGCACAGGGCCGTAAAGTTTTAAATTGTTTATTATAAATCTTAAAACAAACAAGTCAATTACTGCGGAATAAAAGAAACATGTATGAAGTCCCTAGCCGTCCAGTTACTCGGTCCGTCGTTGGTAGTTGGGTAGATCCAACTGTCAATGTCTGATTCCTCTTCATTGTCTTCAATGGTGTTAATCCCACGATTGCTGATGCGTAGGGGAGGTCCTCTAGCCCGAGTGTGCCTAACAGCCCTTTAAGCCCCTGTAGTAAAGCCCAAACCAAATTTGTCAGTTTTATGAGTGAAATCAGGGAGCTGACCCCAATTGGCACACCCACCTTCTTTAACCACGACCCTGACGTCCTTGAGAGAAGTCATCTTCAAAGGAGGTTTGTTGCTAGTAGTTTCAGTCGAAGCCAAGATCTGAGGGACCTCTTTCCTTTTACCGGATATTTCAGCATTTGGTGGAGTGTGGAGGTGACTGCCTCAGCCTCGTGGATCCAAGGACGACCCCAACAAACAAGAATACGACGGCCTGATATCCATCACATAGAAAGTGGACCCAAAAGCCTGAGAACCCACTTTGACAGAGATGTCCATTTCCCCGTGCACCATTCTCTTCGATCCATCAAAAGCCCTTACCACAATGTTACTAGGCTTTAAAGTCAAACCCTCGCAATCCAATTGATTTATTCTAAAAACTAAAAACATATTTTTTTGTATTTTTATATTCTAAATAACCTAAATTATTTAGATAAATTATATTAACCTAATTAAATAAATTAAACTAAGAATAAAATAAGCCAAGTGAAGCTGGAGGTGTGAGTTTTAAAGAGAAGAATGATACAAGTAAATAAGGCCCAAGGCCCAAGTCATAAAAAAACTATCTCTAAAATAAACTATCTCTAAAATACGAATGAAATTGGAAAATATGCACATGAGGGATTCCGCCCCTGTTTCACTTACAGTAACGATTGTGAGAACATATATAATAAAATTTTCTAAATCAAAATATGAATAAAATAAAAGCCAATTGCTTTGACTTTTCAATTACATATTAGTGAACCTGTTATATAAAGACATGTGTCGTATGAGAGAGAAAAGAAAATAAAAATTAAAAAAATGGGAACATACATACACGCATCAGTACCAGAGGAACCAAAATCCAAACCCAAATTCTCTTTCTTCTTTTACTTTCTTTCTCATGTTTCTTTCTTATTATTCAAGATCTTTCTCTCCCCTTTCTTTTCTTGCTTTGAGTTCCTCACCTTACACAAACAACAACGACAATAGCGAGAAAAGATTACATGAGATCTAAACCAAAAAACAAATATGGATCCAATGGGTTATTCACCGGAGGGTTGTTGGCCACTCAAGGTGGAGTGTGTCGGGCGTAGATCTAGGGATGTTGTCGTCGATTTGTGCGGACCGCACGACTGTCGGCGGTGAGGCGTGTTGCGATTGAATCAGAATACGGGAGGGCGACGGCTGTCAGAGTGTGGTGTCGCCGGGAGTGCTTGAGTTTCCTGCTACATCGGGAACTTCGAACTGGGTGGTGATGGCGCGTTGACATCAGGGTCAAAAGGGTCGACAATTGCTGGATAAGAGCTTCATGGTGGAGCTGTTGCGACTTGAGCGAAGTTCGATTCTGCAGATCTGGGAGTGCAGTCGCGTGGGTGAGGCATTGTGAAGGAGGCGATCTCGCGGATTTGGTCGGAGTTATGTGGCGCTGGATGGTTCAAAACGGCGAGTGGTTATGGTGCAGCTCATATTCGATTGTTGTTCCAAAGTTTGTTTATATTCTCCCTACAGTAAAACCAACAACTTTATCTCGTATCAAAATCGTGTGCAAGAAATCAACGGTAATGGTATGTGGAACTAGAAGCACGACGATCAGAGAAAAAAATAAAAATACAGTGGTAGTTAAAATTGTGGATTTTGTGGAACTCGAAGCACAGTGATCGAAGAAAAAAAATAAAAATACAGTGGTAGTTGAAGTTTTGGATTTGTGGCTGGTTTTTATAACAGGAGCACAATTCAAATTGGTTTTGAAGAGTTTTTAATGTTGTAAAATATGTGCAGTTTTTGGTGGATTTTTTTCGTTAAGAGTGCTTATTGAAAAAAAAGTTTGACCTTTTAACAAGAAGAAAACAATTTTTTTAACTAAAAAATAAGGTTAATTTGTATATGGAAAATTGGTCTGATACTAAAATAAAATTTTAAAAATAAAAAACCAACAGGAATTATCATCATTTGGTTTAATCAATTAAGAGAAAAAACAATTGAAAATAAAAGGTTAAGGCCTCCTATGAAAATCATCGGTTAAATAGTTTTGAAAGAGAAAATGAAAAAAGTGTTTGGAAAAGTGTGTGTTGATAATGTATGAATTATGAGAAATTGTAGATTGTTGGTGAATTGTGTTTCGTGAGAAATTCAGGATGAAAAACTAGGACAAACTAAGGTCCTATTTATATATTTGAATTAGATTTAAAAAATTTTAGGGAGTAAGTTATCCAAAAGCCCAAGAGAAGCCCAAAGTTTGATTTCCAAAAAAGGAAAGAAAATTAGTGAAAAAAGAAATAAATAAAAATGTTAAAAGTGCACCATAAGAGATTTGAACTCATAACCTTATGTTTGCAAGCTTCATTCATTAGCAATTGTACTATGTTATTCATTTGAAAATAAACCCAATTGAAAGTATATGAAAGATGTGCAAATATTTGTTTATTCAAAAATACAAATGATCTGAAATAAATCATTATGTTTTTAAATAGGCTTGGAAGTGAATATCTATAAAAATCAAATAATATTATAGAAACATGTTTAAAATATTTTTGACTGTAGAAATAAAGGGCGGACAAATTTGGGGTATGACAGTATGCAAATAGGCTCAACAACCGGGAAATATAACTATTTTTGTCACCAGGATATATTAACCCGACCTCAAAAGGCTTGAGGCTTATAAAACCAAACTGTTACGATACAAGTTCGGTTAACTCCCAGGCACAATAAATATCTTGAGAGGTTCGCTTGGGGCTCATCAGCCTGAAGCCATGAATAAACAGAAAGAACCCAACCTCAAACAGGCTTAGGGATCTTAATCCAAAAGGAATACTCGTATCCAAACATTCACTCATGCGGACTTTGTATCTGAGAGACCCAACACGTGTGTAAATCATGACGCGAGTATTCAGCGCTTACAAATAACGAACAAAGCGAAAGCCAATAATAAAAAGACGACTACTCGCCCCAGAAACGCATGGGGCTCAAATCGGATGAGATTCCCTGGTTGCATAACAACCCGGACAAGATACTTCACTTCAATGGACTTTATACCTGAAAGGCTTTAAGTCAGATGGGGCTCTAAACTTGAATAGGCAAAAATAATGCTCGACATTCCATGATCGAGCACTTAAGCCACGCAGAATTCGTGCTCGAGGGGCTTGAGTACATACACCTCAGATTATTTTAAAGCTGCTATGTAAGCTCAGCTTCGTAGACAAAGTATAAATGTGAAAATGTGAGACAAACACGAGGCTGAACAGATAATAAAAAGACGAAACATTTTTATAAGCCATAAGAGGAGAATAAGCATGAGTGTAAACACTCGGCACTGGCATTGGGCCACGAATTTAATAAAAGTAAAGTCGAATTCATATGAGCTGGAAGAGGCAAGTGTGATTGGAAAAATAACAAGGTTTATCAAGAAACGTAAAACACTACGAGTACATATCGAAAAAATAAAGCTTAACCAAGGGTTGTCATCTAACTCTTATTCATAGTTCAGTGAACAAAATAAAAGTAAAACATATTTCTGGTTAATCGGACCTTTTACTTATACTAGAGTTGGGTGGGATATATCTCCGACTGGGGCATAATGCATACCTACAAGGTACCAAAACTCGGCTAGATATATGCATGGGGCTATAAGTTAATAGAAAAAACATTCAAAATGATAAAAAGGCCCCAGATGAGCATAAACACAATGCACTGGAAAGAAATACAACACGGTCTCAGAAAAACAAAGCAAGATCTATACACGAGTTTTCCAACTCATAAAATTTCTAAAATCTTCTACGAGTTGGCTATGATTTGTGTTAGATGATCCGAGTTCACACATGGACTCGGGATAAAAAACATTGAGCTTCTTTTGTCTGAATACTTCACTCCTTTTGGGACTTCATGCCCTGGGGACTTATGTACATCCCAAAATATTTTTATCAAGGCCGAGGTACAAAGTCGGAAAAAGAATGAAATACAGGCCAATATAGGAGATCACCCTTACAGGCTGGATATGATTACTTGGTCAGGTCTTCACTGGGTATGAAGGGCGAGCTGGGGTGTGACCCAAAACTAACACTGAATAATCTATCAAGCATGAGCTCGGTACAGTAAAGTCAATTTGCAGGAAGCCGAACTCGAGGAGAGTAAGAGGTGTAACTATGGCCTAATGATAAGACGAACGTTACAAGTTATTAATGGGCGGTTACAAACGTTACAAATATGAGAGACAGTTACAAATGTTATGAAATGACTTAATGGCCATTAGACCAAATATTATCTTATATAAGAGGTCCTTGGAGAATGGAAAATAGGAGGAAAAATACATGATACATAATACAGAAAACTCATAGAGGGGCTCTCGCAAGAGGGATAAGCAAGACACTTATCTTGGGTCAATACGAACCATCATCGTAGCACCCAAATCCCTCAAAATCATACAGGCTCTCCTTGTTCCTATAAGGAAGTCACTTGTTTAATGTTTTTATGCAAGAACAATATATAAATATAAGAAGAGGTACTAACGGTTAAGAAAATATAACATAAATATTGAAAGTAGACACAAGAGGTAGCTTGCCACTAGTTAAAACAAAACAAACAGAGAGTTGGCCAACAAAAAAAACAACCACCAAAACAAAGAGAACAACTTATTATAAAAGCACTAAAACAAAGAAACAAGTTACTTCTTCCTCAACCAAGGACCACCTAAAGGGAACACCAATCTCCACCTAAACAATAAGAACACATTAAAGGGAGGACGAAGACACTCAAGATACTATTGGCTCAAATATACGATAAAATTCTTGAGTCAGACTGAGAATGAACATGAGTTATTCATAATAGATCTACCAAGATACCATTTCCATACCAAGAGAATGTCAATATCTTCCATGTCCTTCGAAACCACCAATTTATCTGAGAATATTATATTATTCACAGATTTTCAAATCGACCAAATCATATCATGACAATTTGACAAATCAAAAACAACCTACCCTAATTCTAGACAGGTCACTAAATTAATTAGAATAATAAATGTTTAATATCCTCTTTAGTCCCGTATCTTAATCAGATATGGTTCATTTTGATCCCTTAATTTAATTTTTTTTCATTGATTTCTTAATTTTTTAAAACGTGTCATTTTCGTCTCATTAGCGACTGACTTGGTGATCGGTTTTGGAGTTTTCACGTTATTAAATAGACGAAAATGACTTGCCTGATACATTTTGAAGAGGTTAGGAACCAATATGAAATTTTAGGGATAAAAATGAACACAAAAATTAAAGGCTTAATTGCAACTTTGGTCCCCCTGTTTAAAACTTTACTTGATTTTGGTCCCTCCATTTTTAAATTCACTATTTTAGTCCATTTTTTAATTTTTAACATGACTTTTGGTCCCCCTTCAAATTTGGGTGCGTTTTTGTATGACATGGCATTATTTTTGATGATGTGTCAGTTCCATGTCATGCAAATATTAATATAATTCACTTTTTTTTTTAATTTTATAATTATTTTAATGTTTAATTTATGCAAATAAGCCAATATTATATTAATTGCAGAAGTAAATAACCATTTCATTTCTCAAAAATGACATCCCAAAATAAGAACTAGCTCTACTCTCTGCATCTGCTCATCTCTCTTCATATGTGACCAACGAACCCTAAATCGCCATTGCAAATCATCGTTCTCTCCGTGCAGATCATCAATGGAAAATCCAAGCTACGTGACAAGGTAGGTGCCGTTGCATTCATATCTCTTCTTTATGTTGATGTTGTGGTTTTAGGTTAGGGTTTCTGTTTGATGTTGTGGTCCCATCCCAGTATTCTTTATGTTGTTGTTGTGGTCCCATCCCATATTTATTTATGTTCTATTTCCTTTATTGATTATTTTATGTGATTTGTCTATGTTGTGGTCCCTAATATCTGTGAGTGGTCCCTAATATGTTCTATTGCAGGCCATCCGACACCCAACTTGTCAGACTGAGATTACATCATCGGGGATGTTTTGTAGATAACCCAGTGAAGTTGTATGTTGGTGAGGTTGTTACTGAAATGGATTTGGATTATGATATTGATTTCCTGTCGTATATGCAAATTGAAGACTTGATCAAAGCAGAGGGGTATTGTAACATAAAGTGCCTATGGTATTGGAATCCCAACTTTTCCTTTTCACGTGGGCTTCGGCCTCTGAATAGTGACAACGACGTGTTAAGGTTAGTAAAAGATGTTAGTGGATTTAAACTAGTCGACATTTATGTAGAACACAAAGTTGAAGAAGTATGTATTGATGATGTTATTTTTGAGGAGGGAAGTAATGGTGAGGTTAACGGGGAGGGAGGAAATATGGAGGAAAATGTTGAGGAAACTATGAAGGTTAATGGGGAGGGAGAAATTGTTGAGGAAACTATGGAGGTTAATGGTGAGGGAGCAACTATGGAGGTTAATGGTGAGGGATTAACTGTTGAGGAAACTGTGGAGGTTAATGGTGAGGGAGCAACTGTGGAGGTTAATGGGGAGGGAGTAATTGTTGAGGAAACTGTGGAGGTTAATATTGAGGAAACTGTGGAGGTTAATAGTGAGGGAGCAATTGTGAAAGAAACTGTGGACATTACTGAAGAAGTTAGAGAAGAAGAAAATGTGGAGGTTACTGAAGAAGTTAGTGAAGATGAAAATGTAGAGGT